GGCATCCTCCAGGCAGCAGGAGCCCCTGGCCCACGGCTGGCTCTGGAGTCACCCTGCAGGCACTTACAGCACCACCCTCTCGGTTACCCTGGAAAGAACCACTTATGTCTTTTGTACCCCTGTGGCTACTCTTAGATCTCCCCTTTTCTGGGTACCCAGGAGACATGCCCCATGGACATTTTAAGTTTCTCAGATATGTCCATTTTAATATTGTGGTTGAGACTCTTAGTACTGTCATAGAAACATTTTCAAAAACTCACTGCAAAGATGGAATTTCAACTAGTGCCTGGAACCTTCTGCAGGCATTTATGCTGATAAAACGAAGTAGATCTAATAACTGCAAAGCATAGGTGCGATTTTACATGAGGGAAAACTGGAGCTTATTTGACACGCATATTGCCAGGGAAAGCAGGGAACGCTGGATCTTGCTGCAGTGAGTTATGTACTCCCAAGAGTGACAAGGACTTAGGTCCTTGAGAAGCCTCCAAGAAATCTTTATTCACAGGAAGGGCACCAACCCCCTGCAGTTTATTTTTATCACCCAAGTGAAAAGATTAAAATGCTCCTACTCCAAGAGAAACATCAATATATAGTTAAATCCCTGCATTGCAGGGTGGAAAATATCTTAGATCTTTGACACTCAATTTCCACATTTATTTCTAGCGGGGGTTTCACAGCAAATCTGTTTTCCGATTTGCTTTTTCCCCACGTCTCTGAGCAGAACTGAGGGCCCTGGAATGTCCACTGGTTTGTTAACCAGTCCGAGTATGTTCATCTTCTCTTTTCTATTCATTTCATTTTAGGAAAATGATAAAACTTTTGTTTGCTTCTATGGCCCCGTTTCCGAGGATATTCCCCGCTGGCAGTAGCCGGTGTAAACGGAAACTGCGCTCCATGCCAGCACTCTGACCTGGCTTGTTTTTGGTAATCAACATTTCCAGGCCAGCAAACTTAAGGCAAAGCTAGGCAAAGAGCCCACTTTAAGACCACTGTGGTCACAAGCAGACCAAGTGAAAATAAAACCTCAGGAAAAGGTCTGCGGGAAGTTCTGCACAGTATTTCTTGCTCTTGGGGCCTAGGGGTGGGGTGCGGCTGTGCATCTCAGTCCTAAGAAGCAGGTGCAGCAGGTCCCTGAGGGGCCAAACGGTGGGAAGGACACATGTGGCCAGACCCAGGGGGCAGCGCTCACTGGGGTCAGTTCAGCCTGCAGTCCTCTCTTCCCTGTCCCCTCCTATCAGCACAGCAGTCACTTCCCCGGCTTTTGCTGCTTTCCCCCACGTTCCTGTTTTTTGGCGAGCGCACGAGCTGTTTGAGCATTCTCTAAGCCTTTGCAATTCCCTGATACGGCTCAGCCCTTTTCTAATCTTGCAGCTAGCCGGTTGTCTTTTTAACCTGGCCCATAAAGAGGGCTGGTAGCCTGCACTGTTTTTAAAAAAATGTAAATTGAGAAACAAACTTAAGAGGCTTGGTCTGACTTTGATTTTGAACCACATAAATAAAGACGCAGTGGTCTTAAAAAACACCGCGAAGCTCACGCCCTGAGCTCAGCCACAGGACACACGCGGGAGCAAAAGTGGACTTACCCCGAAGCGCGGACGTCAGCAGGATCCCAGCCCTGCGGCTTCCGCGGGGTGTGGGTCCCAGCGGACGTCGTCGTTAGGCTCAGGCTTGGCGCAGCACCCCCCGCTAAGGTCGCCTATTTCTTATGCCCCCATACTTCCACCATAACCGAAACGCGCACCTGCGGAACCCGAGTCCGAGGTTCATCTGCTCCTTTAGTTTCTCGTGGAAATCCTGACGCGCACGGGCCCCGGAACACGCCGGCATTTTTGTTTTGCAACCAAATGACTTCCCGAAACGATCCAACCAAAAATCAAAGCGAAGCAGGAGACAAGATGTGAGGAAGACACCTGGGTTCTGGGCTCATGGCTCAGGAGACGAACAGCCAGAGAGAATCGGGTAACCCTTCAACCCCAGCCCCCCCGCACGCCAGGCACCCCCTTCTGCCTCCTCTTTCACTCACAGAGGTTGCCTCTCCTTCTTCCCTGGCCTTGGGAAATCTGGATCAAGTCCCAAGACCGCAGCCGGACCCTCAAATCCATCGTCCGCACATGTAGGCGATCAGCCACAGTCGGACGAGTCATATCCCCGGGTCCTGCGCGCTCTCAGGTCCTCGGCTCGCGCGCCTGTGGAAGCCTCTCATCACTTTGGGATGCTGCGCCCAGGGAGCGCAAAAACTAGGTGGTAAACTACGCCAAGCAAAAACTCAAAACCACAGAGCTCTTTACCTCTGTGCGCTCAGCGTTGGCTAGTAGCTGCCCCTGGGCCATGGAGAGGGTTACGCGGCTTTCCTGGGAGGCGGGAGAAATGTTGCTTTTTCTTCGCAATCCTACTTTGGCTCACCTCTCTCCCAGCCCAGCCCGCGGCGCGGGAACTCACAGAGCCGGACCGGGAGCCGACAGGGGGCGACAAACTGTAAGCGTTTCCTTGGGCTGGGCATGGGACGGCGGCAGCCAGTGCTGGTGGCCCCGACAGCGCCCAGCCAGCCGCTGAGGAGAGGCCGGGGGCGAGGTGAGGGCCCGAGGGCTCTGCTACTCCAGAAAGGTCCCCAAGTGCAATCTCCCAACTCTCTTCTCAAACCTCTCGGCAGTCAGCGCGCCTTTCGGGGTGGAGGAGGGGCAGGCGCCGTCCTGCCGGGTCCCTGCTCCGCCGGCCGAGGTGGGACGGAAGTTTCTCTGACAGGGGAGGTGGGGCGAACCAGATCTCACGGTAGCACGACAGGCATTTCTGTCACTTTTCCGAGCATTCCTGTCGTGTGGACTCTTCTCCTGCAGAGGAAGGAAAGGCGTTAGCTGCCTCCCCACTTCCTGGGGTGCACTGGGTTGGGGCGTGAATGCTGTTTCTCCACCTCGGAGACCCCAAGGCCTAGAAACCTATGCTTCAAGTTTGGGCAGCGAAAGTGCAGATCAGAGGCTAAGTTCTCAAACACCTGGTGAGATCTGTGTGGAACTGGTCTCGGCTCCCCAAGCCTGGGAGCCCAGGTCGCCTTGTGCGTGCTCAGTCTCTGCCAGCTGCCTCCGAGGTGCTCCTAGCACCCGTGTCCACTTCAGTCAAACCATTCTGTTTCCCTGGTTCTTACCCTTACACTGTGCTGTCGTGGGCAGGACTGGTCTTCTAGATGAGTTGTCCGCTCCCCCTGTTGCACCCTTCTGCCCAGGACACTGAAGCCCAAACCTGGGCCCTGTCCCCATGACTTCCTAGACCTAGAGGCTCCCTGAGCCAGGAGCTGCCGTGTTTTCCGTGTTGGTGGAGAAGAGTCCTCACTTCTTTTGAACCTGTTTTTTTTTTTTTTTTAATTATTTCATTTAATTTTTAAAAATCAGGGTAATGCCTGTAGCCCTGGTTCTCTGCTGGGCTCAACACGCTGCCTCCACGGAGTCCAGGATTTATGGCTCAGACTTTCCTAAGAGACTCATTCGGACAGGTTGATTAGGAACCCGCAGCAGAGGGAAGGAGGTCAGGGCCTTCGCCTGGCTCCCCGCGCTATGCTGATCAGGTCCATCTGCACTTCTGGCAGCATCACTGCCCTGCTGAGGCGGGGACTCTGGGCCTTTAGGGACCTTAGGAGTGTGTGTGTTGGGCATGGGGGGCGCTTTCTTGCTTCCGGAGAGCGAGAAGGAGTCCTGGGAACCTTGACTTTTGCTAGGCCCTCTTTCCTGCTCCTGCTTGTTCAGAACAATGCTCTTGGGGCTTACTGGCCCCAAACTCGGAACTTCCAGGTTTGGGCCTCCTCAGGTCAGTTCAGGTGCAAGACTTTCCCCTCCACCTGCTCTCTCCTCGCCCTCACCGCTTGGCTCCCTCTGCCATTGCCACAGTTAGAGTCCAGAAATGAACATTGCTGCAGGATGGAAACAGAAAAGGGTTAGCATTTAATGCCAGGAACAAAGAATTCAGGGCTGCTCAGAACTGCTTAAATGAAGAAGAAAGGACCATTCTGTGCTTCAACAGAGACCTCCTGGAGGCTGCTGATGCTCAAGTAAAAGCAAGGCCAGGCTGGCCCAGGGTAGAGTGGTGCTGGGTTGCAACGCCAGGGAGAGAGGGACTGTCCTTTAGGCCTAGAGTGGGAGGTATGAATGGGGCCTCCACCCAGGCCTGCTTAGGGTCAGGAGGACTGGGGTCTATGCTCTTGGGGGCAGCTGGTTGGAATCCCTTTCTCACCTGCATCCAGTGTCACCTCTTGGCGATGGATGGGTGGGAGGGACTGGCTGCAGCAGACAGGTCTGGAATGTGCCCCGTTTCCATTACCACAATCACCCCACTACACCAAGGCTGGCTATTAAACATCATGAAGATGTCCTGAGAGCAGGACTGGGGAGCCAACCAGGAATGGGACACCCTGGAGTTGAGAGGACTCCACAGCAAACTGCCTTAGGCCCTCCAAGCCAGATGCCCTGCACCAAGCTGGATGCTCACCTTGGCGCTCACAGGGAGTTGGCACTGACCCTGCCCTTTAAGCGTTCCTGCTAAGGTAGGGAGACGTTAGGCGCAGCCCACTTTAAACAATGTGCCATGATCAACTTTTATTTTTTACCTTATTAGTAATAATGGCAAAGGCGGTAATAACCCTAAAATGAAAACGAAAACTAATGCTAGTGCTAATACACTAATCAGTTTGAAATGACTTCCCAGTCATTCCCAAAGCCAGAAGAGGGAGGGGGCTGGAAGGGGCTAGAGCTAGTGGAAGGTCTCAGGCCCAGCTGGGACTGGTACTTGTGTGTGTGTGTAGAGGGGTGGGTCTGGAAAGGGGTGAAGGAGGGCCGAGGGGGAGGACAGAAGGAAGGGGTAAAGTTTCAGGGCGGGGAGGGGGGCGCCGGGGCGCTGTGACGGGAACCAATGAGATGCCAACTCGCGCGTCTCTGGCGTGACTGCCGAGATTGACGTGGAGAACACGTCAAATTGATTGCCGCAGCTTCCCGGTCAGACGAATTTCTCTCAATCGGATGAAGTTCACCCTGGGCCTGGGGTCGCGGGCGTGGAGAGTGTCCTGGGAGCCGGCGGCAGCGGCGGCAGCAGGCCGTAGGGAGGGCGGCGACGCGCTCCGCGGCGGAGCACAGCGCGTCTCCAGCCCGCGGTCCGGCCGCCGCGGCTCTCGGCTCTCGCGCGCCCTCCCTCTATGCCTCTCCGGCGGCAGCGGCGCCCGAGCTCTCCAGGACTGCGCCGGGCCCAGCCCCGGCCGCCCCAGCGCCAGGCAGCTGGTTGGCCCGCGCGCTATGGGTAAGGGGCGGGCGACAGGCCGGGCGCGGGCGGGCTGATGAGGTGGGTCGTATCCCCGCGCCTCCCTTCCCTCGTGTTGGCTTTCCCTGTGCCACCCGGTCCTGGGTTTCGCACCAGCCGCATTCTCTCCATGTCTCTAGCCTTCGGGGGCAGTTCAGCAAGTCTGAGAAGGGATTGTCCCAAGTAGATTCGCTAAAAGTCGCTGAGGAGCTTTGAGGGCTAGAACGCGCAGTGCTCCTTCCTCTGTCCCTACGCTCCCGCACGCTCTCAGAACCGGACCCAGGCGGTTTGCCCTCGGACCCCGACCTGTCGGGGGATCCGCGGGACGCGGCTGGTGCAGTCTTATGCCCCTCGCCGCCGCCCTGACTAACCCGCTGGTGTTTTCTCCCCCTCCCGCTCACTCTGGTCGGGCGCATCCGCAGAGCAGACCTACGGCGAGGTGAACCAGCTGGGCGGCGTGTTTGTCAACGGCCGCCCCCTGCCCAACGCCATCCGCCTGCGAATTGTGGAACTGGCACAACTGGGCATCCGACCCTGTGACATCAGCCGGCAGCTTCGTGTGTCCCACGGCTGCGTGAGCAAGATCCTGGCACGTTACAACGAGACGGGCTCCATCCTGCCCGGGGCCATCGGAGGCAGCAAACCGCGCGTCACCACCCCTAACGTGGTCAAGCACATCCGGGACTACAAGCAAGGAGACCCTGGCATCTTTGCCTGGGAGATCCGCGACCGGCTGCTGGCCGACGGCGTCTGCGACAAGTACAACGTGCCCTCGGTGAGCTCCATCAGTCGCATCCTGCGCAACAAGATCGGCAGCTTGACGCAGTCCGGACCTTACGAGGCAAGTAAACAGCCGCCGTCGCAGCCTGCGCTTCCCTACAACCACATCTACCAGTACCCTTACCCCAGCCCGGTGTCGCCCACGGGCGCCAAGATGGGCAGCCACCCCGGGGTCCCGGGCACAGCGGGCCACGTCAGTATCCCACGTTCATGGCCCTCGGCACACTCGGTCAGCAACATCCTGGGCATCCGGACGTTTATGGAGCAAACAGGTCAGTCGTGGTGGCCTTCTGTAGCCTTCTGTGAAGGGGCAGATCTGGAGGCGGGAGGGCACTGTCCTCCCGGGACTGGTTCTAGCTAAGGGGAGGACTGGGGCTGGCCGGGGAAGCTGGGGGGATCCTGGGCCTTATGTGGAAATCCTCCGACATCTTGAACTTTTTATGACAAATATGGAAAATATTTCCCAAATGGAAGAGCAATCGCCAACCACAAATTCGGGTCCTGAAACTGCTTTTTTATTCTTGCAAAAAAGTATTCAAACCGCGATTGCCAAAGCCAAATAACCCGCGCAGGCAACCTTGACACCCTTTCTTTAGCTTCCAGACTCCCTACCCTTTCCAGGACCCTCCCTACCAGGCCTAGTGGCTTTTTTGAGTAGAAGGAAAGGGGTCCCGTTGCCTTGTCTAGTGGCCTGGATCGACAGCAGGCCTGAAGGCCTTTCAGGTCCTGCAGTTGGGATAAAGGATTTGTCGTTTGCTTGCACTTAAACTCAACAAACGGTGTCCTATCCGTGGGGAGGAAGATGGACCAGGTGGCAAGTTTGGGACAGTTTTCTTGCCTGAAGGGTGGTGGTGGGGGAACAAACTGTAAGGGGCCAGAACCAAGCCTCTTCCTACAGTCCTAAGAAGCAGAGTTCGCAGCAGCCCAGGAGAGGTGAGGGGCAGCTAGAAGCACCCGGAATACTTAGCTCCGGCCGGCAGCGCGGAGCACCTCCCCCCTGCACGCCGGCTGTGTATCTCCCGGTGGCTCTAACCCAGTCTGCGCCACCAGCTGGGGCCACAACTTCCCAAGGAGCGGTAGTGGGCAGTTGAATGGGAGGTGAGCCCACCACGCCTGCGCTCAGATCTGGAGCTCTCCCTTGGTTCCCACACACTAGGGCGCAGAGTTATATGCGCAGGTGGGCGCGGGTCGCCAGGTGACGCCTCTTTTAGGAGGCCGGGATGTCTGGGAAGGCAGTTCTGGGTAGATCTGCCGGCCCTCCAGACGCTTTTTGAGACTTTGAGATAGCCAGACGGTGACCGTGAGGCTGTTGTGAATTTGAAAGTAGACTTTTCTGGGCGCCTTGTCCGTAACAGAAGAGTGGTCGCCTCGCCTTCGTTGAGAGTGCTCAGCCCCTGCCCGGCGCCACGCCGCTCCCCCCACGCCACCCCCAGACCTCGGGTTTCGTGGGAAGCGGGTGGAGGGCTAGTGGAGCAAGGAGTAGGCCCTGACGCCTTTCCTTACTCTGCCGTCTGGGAAGGAAAGAGAAACCCCGGGCGCCACGGCCTTCTCGCTGCTCCGACCTCTGGGTGTTCGGGCTGCACCCTCAGGTACCAGTGGGTGGTAGTAGCAGGCGTATAAACGTCGGGTCGGGGGCTGGAGGGCCGCACGAGGGCTCAGTCCACATTCAGAGGAGCCCTCTAAGGGGTCCTGTGTCCCCGCAGGGGCTCTGGCCGGGAGCGAAGGCGCCGCCTACTCCCCCAAGATGGAAGACTGGCCCGGCGTGAACCGCACGGCCTTCCCCGCCACCGCAGCAGTGAACGGGCTGGAGAAACCTGCCTTGGAGGCGGACATTAAATACACTCAGGTAACCCAGAGGCAATGGTGGAGGTGATTTTAATTAGGGGAGCATGGTTGCCTGGTTGGGGAAAAAGAGCAACAAAGAGAAAACTTTTAGGCAAGCGGAGGGTGGTCCAGCGGCTCGGCCAGCCCAGCAAGCGTCTGCCCGGCATGTTTCCATCCTTTACTCAAGCTTACTAGTTTAGGGGAGACTGGCTTTCTAGGGGGTTAACTTGCCTTTTGTCAAATTACTTTTTCTTAAAAGGCTGGAACCGGAGACCACAGATCCACAGTAGAGAGCCCTCTTTTTCTATGACCCCCCATCACCTGTTATTATTGATAACAATTTGAATGGGTTTTTGGAAATCACTTTGCCAGAGTCCTTAGGAGGAGAATTAGAGACTGACCCTCGTGGAGATAATTGACAGGGTCAGCAGGGGACCTAAGAACCCCCATCGTGGTGGGGGTGCGCACTGCAGAAGACGGTAGAGAAGGCCGGTTATGCGTTGCTGACTGCCTGTCCCTCTCCATTCCCTAGTCGGCCTCCGGCCTCTCCGCGGTGGGCAGCTTCCTCCCGGCCTGCGCTTACCCGGCCTCCAACCAGCACAGCGTGTATGGAGCGCCTGGCGGCGGCTACCTCGCCCCAGGCCCACCGTGGCCGCCTGCACAGGGACCTCCGCTGGCGCCCCACGGGGCCGGCGTCGCGGTGCACGGAGGGGAGCTCGCGGCAGCCATGGCCTTCAAGCATCCCAGCCGAGAAGGTGAGGGGCACGGGCAGGGAGGCGGTGGGGAGGTTGTCGGCAGGATTAGGAATTGTGAGGGGAGGAGGCGTGAGACTGGGAGAAGAGCGAG